TTGTAAAGTCCCAGGTTGTTTTGGAGAAATTTACCACTTTCTCCCCAATTATCCTATGTTCACTACTATCTTTCATATATGTATTTTGATTAGCCTTTGTCCTGACTTCTATACCCAAAATCTTAAGTTTCTTAGCATGTCTGTATCTAGCCTATTGGAAAACAATATCATACAACCTATCCGTCATTCTTTGTAATTTGGAGAAATCTTCAGAGCTAAGATTGCTTGCCAATGACTGGCGTAATCTGGTTTTTCTCTTTATCAAAGAGTGTAATTTTGTAATATTTTCTTGGGTCATAATATTAACTAAATCCTGCGATGCCCTTTAAAGAACTCGCTTACATATACTTGCCGAATTTAGTCTATCAATAATACAAAACCTAGGAAAAACCATACGTGAAAAAACGAAAATGGCTTACTTGCCGGGCCAGAGCTTTCTTTGTATTGGGGTAAAGTAATTATTCTCGAAAACATTGTTATCCGTACGAAGCACATAGGTATGTGGACAAACTGGGTTTCGAATAATCCCTTAATATATTGATGTCTAAGTACCTTTTATTTCTTCAAAACCCAGTTTTTTAATATAAATGTATTCATGTTTGAAACTTCTTCTCTCTCACTTTTTGGACTGTTCTTTTTCTCTTTCTCTTATGCTACCCCACCTCCGCCCCTCTCAAGTAGTAACTTCTCAAAGGTCCGACAAAGTCGGAATTAAATGCCCAACTTGTTTGTGTTCTGGTCAATCAATTGATCTTTTCAATCTTGTTGAGTTAGTCACTCGACATGCTGTCTCTGAGGACGCTATCTTTCTCTGGCGACTCCTCTTTCCATCACTGCGCCCAGAGTCCAATGCACCTGAAAACGTCTGTCATCCTTCTGTTCACGGCATCGAAACACCGCCAATTTCTTCTTCCCCAATCTTTACTGAGCCCCAGCGAACTGATGTCAGCCTTCTTTGGGAGGTGTGTGAGTTTGTCACTTTTCACTGAATTTGACAGCAAACTTTGGTCTCACGACGCCAATCTTCATAATATTTGTTGTCACCCATCTCCCCTCGAGATTCATATGCACCTAGTGACTATGCTATTAGACTTAATAGTAAAATGAAGAATATCTCTTTTGTACAGTTGTGACTTGGTTTTGCATCCAACTTTGAGCATCGAAATGATCTTGATTTGAATGGGCCTTTACTTTGAGGCGTTGAGATTTCTGAGAAAATCAATTATTTTATTCAACTGACGGCTTAGCTATAACAGTAGCCTTAATTCTGAATTCATATATCATATATAAATATCAAAGATATATATATATATATATATCCTTCCTTTCTTTAGCCTCAAGCGGCGCTACTTCTGTTCCTTTTTTATTGGAAGATCCCTGTATTCCTTAATTTTTTAATATTAGTATATTCATCATCACTTTTATCCTAGAATGTTCCCCTTTTATTTATACATCTTAAAAAATGATACCTTGCTTATGCTCATTTTTTGTCTTCCACTCATTTTCCTTTTCTACACTTCCTCCTTCAATTATAATTAACTCCCTGGTCCTGTCAATTCATGACCTTTGTATCTTGCGCAGGTCGACATTACCTTTCTCTTCATTGCGCTTCTACATCTTCGACCTGGTCTTGATGCTATGGTCTCCGGAGTCGAATGCCAGCGACGCCGGCAATTGCATACTTTTCTCAATACAGATTATAGGCGTACTGCATTCGGTAGCAGAAGTGCTAGCTGCAGTAGCAGCAGTAGCAGTGGTCATACATCTGTCGACAATATTGCTAGTGACGAGGCCAATATGACGTCAACTCGTCTCAATGGCCTCAGTAGCGGAGATCAGAATCATTGGGTAGACGCGCTGGTTTGCGATAATAGACGGCCTCGTTTCCCCACAGGCGACGCTCATGAAGCTTATTTGATGCGCATTTGCTACACTGCCTGCCTCACACAAGCTCTCTTGAGCTGGCAGCCGAATTCTTTTTCTGATACACAAAATAAAGAACAAGTTTCGACTACAGAGACTCTCTTGGAAGACGAGTTTGACAATTTTCACATTCCCGACTCCGATCCGGCCAGTTTGATCGGCCTAGTCTCTCGTGAGGAATTTGAACTGGAGGCCGATGCAAACGGATGGATGACGCCCCGAGTGAGTCATAATTCAGTATCTTATGCTTATTGTATTTATGAAATTTTCACTTCTTGTATTCCTACGAAATTCACAGGCATTTTTTATTGTTTACCGTAAGGCCCTAAGTATGCCAGATTGTTTTGCCTTTTTACTCATACGAACTTCAATTGAGTCATTAAACAAAGGTTAACAATTATTGAGGTTGTTTGACCTTGTTTTCGCAACTTGGTCATATTGCTAGGAAGACTTAGAAGAACACACCTAGTTCAGAGTCCATTGTATGCATAATCATTTTTAGAGTAGGACTGTGGACGTGGCACATCCCAGACGTTTCGTCGGCATCGTCAGTGAGTCTCGCCACTCTTAGCACTACACAACAACTCGTTAAAGAGACAAGTGAAGTCCATTATTTCACCAAACGTGTGCTAAACAGTTGTGATATCTCCTCTTTTGCCCTAGGCTATTCACATTTCCTATATCCTCGTTTCACGCCTTCACTGTTACTATGTTTTACGTCTATAATCGAACACGTCTATTGTTAGCCAAATAGCTTTAGTCTCCGCCGCGTCTTTCTTATTTTTACCTATAATACCATGTCCATCACATTCTACGTCTTAGTCTCTTGTGTGCCAAACCACAATTTTCGTGGTTCTACTTGCTTTGATTAGGCTCACTGAAGACGTCTCCTCTTGGTTTTTGATTGTTCCTTTCTCATCCTCCTGCGATCTTTTTCCTAAAATTAAGGATATTACCTTGATCTAGTCGTCTTCTTTTTGCTGCTTTTGCTGTTGCCTGGTCTTCTCCAAGTTTGTTTATACAATATGCAAAGCTTTCGCTGATCCTGCCTTCTTCAAGTCTCTTTTTC